GCCACTGAATGGTCGAAAAAGTCTATATTGGGCGACTGATTTGTCATAATGTCATCATAAATGACAAATAATGCTTTTAACATTTTGTGGTTATGAAAATAACCTTTTTTTTTAAATCAATAAATGTGAAAATGAAGAGCTTAATGTTGGCTTTTAATTTGAATTAACTTTTTCTTTTTGGTAAAGGATTATATTCAATATCTATGATATTATTGCTGTTAGATTGAACATTACCATTAATTGGACGAACTGAAAACTGCGACTTGATTGTATTGTTGTTGTAGCCAAAATCTCTGATAGACGGATTATCTTTTCTGCGACCAATTGCACGTTGTCTACCAAAGTTTTCAAGGTCATCTTGGCAGAATCTCTCAGAAAAAATAAATTGAACACCATTTTCAAGTAAAAATTTAACAACTTCTTTGAATGAATGCACTGTAATTTGCAAACCTTCATAAGTTTGTGTAGAAATAAAAATTTTTGATTTTGAGCTCTCATCAAAACTTCCTTCTCTTTGATCTATAGATTCTTTCCACAATTTAAAGTATAGGAGAAAGTTATCTAACCAAGTAAATCGTGAATCATCTACTGTTTCATATGGTTTTAAAAATGGTTTTCTTTTCGTTATAAATTCAGCACTATTTTTTACATTAAGACAATCAAAAAACATACCCATCATTAAACAAAATTTTGCTGTTCCAGCAGCTTCTGGTGCTCCAAACTGCTTTAAAACATTTCCGACTGTTTCGCTCAATACTTGGGATGCAAGTCGTACTCACATTACAGAATACGGTGTTAAGTTTATATGATAGCTTGTTAGTTTAGGAACAAGTTTCAAACCTCTTTCTAAATCGGAATTATAAAATGTTGTAATATGATTCCAAAGAAGAAAAAATCCACTATTCCGCATGTAGCGTGATTTACTTCCAGAACCAGAATTACTTAGGCAGTTTCTAGAAGTTTTAATTAGATGAGGTACATCTGCGAAGAAAAAGATGAATCTATTATCATTACTAAATAAGTTTTTAGTGCGATATATAATGTTTTTTCCTGAGCCCCCATCTAATTTCTTATGCATTTTAAAAAACTTTCTATTTGGAGATGCACCATCAGCAGTTGCAGCAATTACTTTCAAATTTATACTTTCAAGATAACGCACTGCTTTCCAAAATATTGGCATAAGTTGTGTTGATGTTACTCCAGTTGTGGCAAATGTTGCTAGACTATAGGAAAGTGGGTTTACTACACTTTTAACATGAAAAACTAAAACATAAGATGCTAGCTCTCTTACATTTTTTGTTGCATAGTTTGTTTGAACATCTCCTAAATCTACAAATCCAATCAACTCACCAGAGTACTTATCCCAGACCAAATCTTCTTGAACTTTCATTTCGTCAAACAGAATTGTAACAAATCGTTCAGCACTAGAGAAACTAGCAGTTTTATATGCAAGATCACTTATGACTTGAGGATTAAAACCTCTTGAAGGATGTATATAATTTTTATAGTCTCTCAATGTGCGTAAACTTGGAAGAACTAAAAACCCTGAACCAGTCTTACTATCAAAACGCAAATCAGAATATGCTGACGAAGATTTAGCTGCTAAATTAAGACAAAATTTTATTATCATTGGATGATACTTTACGCTACAGAGACTAGAAGCTTGAATATATTTTTGCTGCTCGTTCCAAAATAGTTTTATGAAGTCTGGAATATTTTTTTGATTAAAACTAGAATACAATGTTTTAAGGTCTTAGTCAAGTTCTAAATTAACCTTTTCACTTTCCATATTTAAAACTGTTTTCATTTGTTCAATTTGACTTTCCAACTGTTTGCCTTTTAAACGTTGTTGTTGCAAACCTAATTTAATTCTTTCTGTGGAGGTAAACTTAAGAGGAGCGTTCAGTTTTGCAGGTTGTTTTAAAGTTTTATTTTTATTATTTACTTCATAATTAGATTTAAGTTGCAAAGAATGGCATGAAGAACAACAACTTTGGGATTTTATTAAAACATTACAACACGGTGAACGGTGATAAAACTCATCTTGATTTAATCTAGGTTTATTAGGAAGCAGCTTAAAAAGCAAGTAATTAAATTTTTTAGTTTTAACATGTTTTTAAAATTTTGGTTAATTAAGTCTAAATTTTTTACTTCAACACCTGGGCAAAGAATAAGAGTTTCAATATGACTTATAAATTTGGATAAAGAAACATTAAAAAAAGATCCTTTATATTGAAGGTACAAAAGATGATCTATTGGTAACACCCAACCAAAAATTCTTATACAATAGTCTAGCAACTCGTCGACATAAATTTCGAATTTAGGTAAAATATGTTCTGGAGAACTACAAGTAATAATTGCAAATCTCTCATCGAAAGATACTTTCCATCTTTCACTTAAAGAGAGTTTTAAAATACGTTTGGTAAAATCATCAAAAGATTTGTAACATAACGGTGTAGTTTGAGAAATCAACTCTTGAGTTTTTAAAAATTCCTCACGTTTTGTAATAGATAGCGAACTTCGCTGCGATGGATTACTTTTCTTGGGAAGATTTAGGGTTGGCAATGCTCCATCCTTTAAAATCTTTCGAGATGAGTAAATCCAAAATTGATCTTCAGTAAAGTGAAGCTCACAAATATAAAGATTAAAAGAATCAATTCGTTTTTTTAAAGAATCATCGATGAGTCTGTCTCTAGTAACTACGTTAATAAGGTCATTACTCCATTTTTTATTTGCATCATTAGTTGGAGTAGGAACTTTGAAAATGCTGATACTTTTGTGTCTTCTTGAAGATAAACAACCAAATATTGCACAATTTTCACCAGGCATATCAAGAAAACTAATTTCAATCTAAACACAAATACAACTTAATAAAATAACGGGCAAACGCTAACAACAACAATCTTTTTGTGCAGGTTCGGAAGTCCAGAAACGAGAAAAAACAGTATGAAAGAGTTAAAACAATACGCTATTGTTCGCTTCCAAACTATTCTTTCTTATAACTATGATTTTATGCAATAACAAAATGACATTTTTCTTAAGAGTTATCTTTTTTAAATTTATAGTTACGATTAGATATAGAAGTTGCAGAAAAAAGTGAAAACCTCGGAGTGAATGAAACTTGACTAAAAGCAGACGAGAAGGAATAAAAGCTTCCATAGCTGCTTAATCCAGGCTTAATACCATCAAGAAGCGGCCAGGTAATTAGGTAATTTGGAAGTTAAGCTAAAAGATTTTAAATCAAATTACGATTTATTCAAATTAGAGGCTATTTCGATTTGCAGTTAGTGACGAATAAAGCCAACTTTATTACTATCTCGCAGTTAGTGACGAATAAAGCCAACTTTATTACTATCTCGCAGTTAGTGACGAATAAAGCCAACTTTATTACTATCTCGCAGTTAGTGACGAATAAAGCCAACTTTATTACTATCTCGCAGTTAGTGACGAATAAAGCCAACTTTATTACTATCTCGCAGTTAGTGACGAATAAAGCCAACTTTATTACTATCTCGCAGTTAGTGACGAATAAAGCCAACTTTATTACTATCTCGCAGTTAGTGACGAATAAAGCCAACTTTATTAGTATCTCGCAGTTAGTGACGAATAAAGCCAACTTTATTACTATCTCGCAGTTAGTGACGAATAAAGCCAACTTTATTAGTATCTCGCAGTTAGTGACGAATAAAGCCAACTTTATTACTATCTCGCAGTTAGTGACGAATAAAGCCAACTTTATTACTATCTCGCAGTTAGTGACGAATAAAGCCAACTTTATTACTATCTCGCAGTTAGTGACGAATAAAGCCAACTTTATTAGTATCTCGCAGTTAGTGACGAATAAAGCCAACTTTATTACTATCTCGCAGTTAGTGACGAATAAAGCCAACTTTATTAGTATCTCGCAGTTAGTGACGAATAAAGCCAACTTTATTACTATCTCGCAGTTAGTGACGAATAAAGCCAACTTTATTAGTATCTCGCAGTTAGTGACGAATAAAGCCAACTTTATTACTATCTCGCAGTTAGTGACGAATAAAGCCAACTTTATTACTATCTCGCAGTTAGTGACGAATAAAGCCAACTTTATTACTATCTCGCAGTTAGTGACGAATAAAGCCAACTTTATTACTATCTCGCAGTTAGTGACGAATAAAGCCAACTTTATCTCGCATAATGATTTAATTTAATCAGCTAAATTATTACAACATATTTACCCCGATGAATAGATAACAAATTTTCCAATCCAAAATAATAAATACAATTACCTGTAATAAAATGACATGGTTGCAAAAACAATTACAAATAAAGATTTAGCATATATACTACTAATGAAATGCAGTTATACGGAGTGCAATTTTTTAGTAGTTTTTAAATTTTCAATTAATAATTCTCAATTTTCAATTAATAATTTTCAAATATAAATATAAACTTCAAATATAAAAAGCAATTAAAGGTAATTAAATTTCTACTAGTTTCCCTTACATTTATATTACAAGTTCTGTTTCTTGTTTTATGAAGAATATAAAATAAATATTAATTATATACTTGTTTGTTTATTATTAAAGAGACACCAAAGGAAAATATTATATATTTTATTTCTTAATATTATATATTAAAAAAAATTAAAACCTCTGATAAATATTTAAAAATAAATCACAAAAAAATAAAATGTAAGAAAATAAGACTAGTTTTTTTTCATGTTTTTATTACACGAACACACACACACGTTTTAATAAAAATCGTAATTATTTACAAAATTAAATAATTTTTTACATAATTTAAAAAATTATAAAAGATTTAAAAAAGGATGCAAAAACATGACTTATATAACAATTTATTTGTATTTTATATTTTTAAGTGAATTAAAGGATATTATAATATTAATGATTATTTTAAACTCCTAACTTTTAAATTTTAAAAGATATTATTAAAATTCGTATTCGTATTTTAAAACATACTTAATTATAAAATAATAAATTAAATATTTTATTTATTGTTTTAAAATTTTTATTTGAAATTTATATATTTATGATATTAAACATTTTTCCGCGTTATAAAATTTTTTAATTTATCGACGTTATGAAATTCTTTTTCACGGTACTTGATCGACATTTTCTTAATATTTAAATAACGAATCCATTCATAAATACCTTCAATAAAATCAATATCGTTGTGAAGGGAGAGATCTAATCTTTCGCAAACGTTAATCCACGGGAGAAAGTTTTCTTCAAAATCTTTTTTCGATAAATTAAAGGAAATGTATATCGACAACCATTCAATTTTATGTTTAGGTTTCCATCCTTTAAATTTAATTGGTTGATTAAAGTCAACTACGCGAACATTAGTCGAACATTGAATTAAAAGATTTCTTTCTTCATCACTTAAAATATTTTTACGAACATACAACGAAAATAACTTTCTACCAGATTTAATGAAATGATTAACGAAATAAGTTTCACAAGAAGTTTCGTAAGAAGTTTTTCCATTGTCAATCGAAATACTCCACCCTTGCCGTTTGTCGACAAACGATTTTATTTCATTAGTAAATGACGATTGACTTTCATAAAAACTTTCAATGAATAAATTAACGTCATTACTTAAATCTAAAGAAAAATAAATTATTAAATATAAACAAACAAATTATATTTAATTAAAATATTTACTACCTATAAATATATCCTAACAATATTTATTATACATTAATGTTCCAAATATCTTTTGAATTGAACATTGTCTTAAGAAAGAGTCGCCCATAAAGGTAGTGGTGGGTCGCACAGTGAATAAAATGAAATTGAAGAATAAACGGCAAAAATTATATAACCATTTAAATATGAATTAAATGAATTGTTTTTTTTTTGTGTCAAAACCTCAATAATGTAATTTAAAGTTATTTTTACGCGCAAAAATTATCTTCATTAAAAAAAAAATTCGGTCATCAACAAAAAGTATATAGTAGTATGCTCTGAGCTATTACTATTATAACTATTTTAAATTATAATTTTTGAAGACAAATTTAAAAATTTCACAAAAAATCATGACTGTTTAAGAAGAGAAAGAACATCAACTTGGAGCAATTTCCCAATTTTTACATTTATGGTTGGTGAATTGAATGCTCGATGTGTAAAAAACAGTTATAAAACTAAAAATTATTTCCTTGAAACCTCCTTAAAGATTCAATAAATTTCAAAAATTTTAATGACGAGTGAAGCGTTATTATAACCATAAATCTTTGATGGCCTAACTGTGCCCAATAAAAACTTTGGTACAGTTGGGTCCATCAAAACCACCACAATTACAGCCATGAAAGATAACATTTTTCAAGACAGCTCTACAGTGAAAAGTTTTTATAATTTTTTTTTTTTTAACATGCATAGATTAGCCGTATTTTTATAATAATGATACTTTCCTAACTTATCTGTTAGTAATCGAAAACTTATCTGTTAGTAATCGAAAACCTATCTGTTAGTAATCGAAAACTTATCTGTTAGTAATCCAAAAGCCTTTGAAACTACTTTCTCATTCATTGACCTGTACCAATAGCAACATAAGTACAATGCAGTCATATATTAACCTAATTTTGATTTAATGCTTTTTGTTGTCAAAAGGTCAAAGTTAAGTATAGTTGATTAAGTTAAAGGAGTGATCTACTGTACTTTTTAAACTTATATGATTACCTTGTTGACCTAAGAGTATTTCTTGTGCCTTATTTAAAATTGCAATGCTAATAGATCAAACACATTAAAGGCAATCTTTATTGATACTTGTTTTTCAATCAACACACACAACAAAATTTTACAAGTTGTTATTGATAAAAATACACAAGATCTGATTTCCTAAAACAAATTTTATTCACTAGCATAGATAAGCCAGTACAATAAATAGAATTTTCTAAAATGACTTTATTTCTTTTGAATTTTGAGTTTTATTAATATATTGAATAATAAAGGTAGATTTTGAACACTCTTTTTTTTTTAAACATGGCCGACAAATACCAGGACCAACTAATAAAAAGAATTCTGAGAAAAATAAATTTTCACTTTTTTAATGGAAATATTAAAATTAGTTTATAGATGAATTCAGAATTAGTTTATAGAAGAATTCAGAAAAATAACACTATATCATATCATAGATATCATCCACTTGCTTCATTTTTATAACATTTTAACAACCATTCAAACAGGAAATATTTACAACTTAAATAATAACCTTCATTTCTATTATAAATATAGGTTCTTGCAACAAATTAAATGAGAATATATCTCTAAACTTCAGAGTACACAAATTCTTTTACTAATTCTTTTACCAGATAAATTAATGAACTGTTAACCAAAATTTTTTTTATCTAAATTGCCACCCCTAGGAATTAAAAAAAATAAGGTCGGCAATTTATTGCTAACCTTAAACAATTTTTCATTGGCATCAGGTCAGTAGTAAGTGACAGGGGTTGATATTTGACCAAGGTCAGGGCCAGGTTCGATAAATTATAGCCTAGGCCGGGGTTGTGACCAGGGCTGCATAAACATTTATACATCCTAAAGAATATTTTTTTTATTTATAATTCATGTTTTATTTTGTGTATATATGCATATACAAATGTATATTGTGTATGTAAATGTGTACAAATGTAAAACAATGTATACAAATGTAAATGTATACAAATGATCAACATGATCATCATAATCATCATTATCATCATCATCAACAGCATAAAAGAGGAAGCCTGATAATGATCATTTCATCATAATCATCATCACCATCATGATCATCATCATGATGATCATCATAATGATAATGATCATCATCACGATCATCATCATCATGATCATCATTATCACCATCATCATCAGGATTTAGCCTTCTTTTATGTTGTTTCTCTAATATAAACAATTTTTGACTTAACTTAGTTTACTAGTTTGCTGGTAACTTAAATTAGCCAAATCATACAATATGTAAGGCACTCTCTTCAAGTTTTTTAACATCTACCACTAACATTTTCTACTGAAGCTACTACCTTTCTACATGCTGATTCCTAAATTTCTTTAATCTTTTCTAACAAAAGTTGTTTGATACAACCTTTTTTCTAATTTGTCAAAGATTATGCCTCCTTTTTTTGTCTTGCTAGAGTCACACCTCACATCCATCTGATCATCTTTCTTTCAGCAAATACTACACCATATAAATACTAAAGTTTATATAACAATGAAAAGATATTGTATGCCAGCATCTAAATAAATAGCAAACATATATATCCATAATATGTATGCATAAAGTGCATCTTGGAAGATTTTATACCTTCTGGAGTAAAAGTTTGGAAGATTTTATTTCTCCTCGTCAATTTAAGTCTCATTCTACTCCACATTGAGCACCATCTTGAGCAGCTTTATTAAACAGTAATTATTATTATTCATGAATATTTATACAGTATATATCAATAAACTGCTTTCAACAATAAGAGCAACAAAAGTAAAAATATTGAAGAAAAAAAATCATAAAATCATTTTTTTCATTGTTTTACAAGAACATCTCTCTTAAGAACAAATGTCCTTTTATTATGCAAGAAGCCAATAAAAATAAGTCATGTCTGATGTTAAGCATGGTTATTCTCATTTTATTAAATATTGTATCTTATCTCAGATGTTCGAGAAACTTTAGGTTAGTCTTCAACAATCTAATTAACTAAAGTCTAACATTTAATCTCAAATTCATGGGTCTAATCTTTTTAATTCTACGAATAAAGCAGATTATTTTAAGTTATTTGCAAAGAAATCTTACTTTAATTTGACTCTTAAATATAATGGCCATACTCTTCCTGACAATTAAACAGATTAACCCATTGTTAAACATCCAAATCACTCTGGCTTTCAATTCTAAAGTTAATTCTCAATTAAACACTTCTACAATTTGTGCTCCAGAATAGATTTCCATCATAGTCTTAAAAAAAGCGTTCTGCAGAACTCTCTTCAATTTTTGCTAAACTTTTAAAAAGTGCTAAATAAACAGTTTCATTTTTTAAAACTCTAGAAAACACTTTGATCTCTCTAACTATCCTGTGATTAGTCTTTACTCAGTTATTATTTTCTTTATATAAAAGTTTTGAGGTTAAGAAACTATTTTTTTCTAATTGCAGTAATAAAGTTATTCTTGATGGCCTTACTGCTTCTTCATTTCAAGTAACTTTGAGGGTTTCACAAGGTTCTATTTTTGTTCCTGTATTGTTTCTAATCTATAATAATAATCTTTATGAAATCTAAAGTGGCTCTATTTGCTGACAACTCAACTTTATACTCGTCTTGACAAATATTCTTCACTTTTTGGTTGCTTAGAACAAGCAGCCAATCTTATCTCTCTTTTGAAACAGCCTAAGGCTTGCAGTGGCTTATGAATTTAAATTCTGGACTTAAAATCCACAACTTTTGTTAGACAACAAAACTTATTTACAGCAACAAAATATTGCAATATTGTTGGCATTTCTATAAACAAATAACAACCCACTTACTCTCAGACCAAGTCTAAAAGCACATTGTAAATGTAATTGCATCTGCTTTATCTGCCAAGCTTGAGCCACTTTCTTATTGTTATAAAATTGCATTTCTTTCTTTTTTTCTACAAAAACAATCATGGTCAATGCTTAAACAAGTTATTAACTCTATAACGATAAACCAAAACTCATTCTTGCTTGACTTTTTATTCAACAAGTCTCATCCTTTTAACATCTGTTCCTAAAACCTTCCTTGAACATCAAAAAAAACCTTATCACTCTTACCTATCTTCATGTTTTCCTTTTTTATACAACTTACAACTTTTTAAGTCTTCAGTTATACGTTTTCTAGTATTTTAACTTTATTTTAACTATCTACTTTAAAGTAACTCATAACTTAATAGTGGTCACTTGTAATCTTGTTGGAAATAAATTAGAGTTTAAAAATATATAAATGTATTCCAGTATTTAATAAATAGTATATGTTAGTCTCATTTTAAGCTGGGGCACCGGTCACTTACTACAGGTCAGCACAAAATTTTCACCATAACAACATAGAAACAAGGTCAGCAAAAAATCGCAGACCTCTGACACTTTTAGGTCAGCATTGCCAATCCTGATGGATTGGCAAAGAGAAACAGAATAATATTTTTTGAGTGAAGTCTTGCTGTTTGAAAGTCCATTTTTTGAGTGAAGTCTTGCTGTTTGAAAGTCCATTTTGAATATTCTAACAAATTGTATTAATATAAACAAATTATAATACAATTTTAAGACAACTAACATAATATGTTGATAAAAATTTATTAAATTTTTTACAATTAGTATCTAAATACAAAAAATTTGATTTGAGACGCAAGGTAATTTAAGGACTAAAATAAAAAACCCCTCAAAAAGTGCCTTAGGTAGCCCCTGGTTAAGTTAGAAAATTAATAACAAAAAAAAAGTTTACCTTAAGGTTATAATTCATATCGTCACATTAGAATTATATGGTTTTATCTGCCTTTTTTTATGTTGTGAGAACTTAACTTTCAATATTTATTTAATAGATGTTTTACAGCTGTTATTCATTATAATCATAAATTATAAGTTAAAAAATGATATATAATATATACACTTAAAAAATAA